TAGCCTTAGTTAAATGAGTGAAAAGGTTTTGAAAGCCTGGTAAAGTTGGTCAAGACTTCTTTGAAAGTCTGGAGACTTTTGCAGTGACCTGTAGAAGCTGCGACATCAAAACTAGTACTGAAGTGTTGCCCACTGCAAGTATTCATTTCCCAAGCCCTTATTTCTACTGTATTTACTCAGACAACAGGAAGCCCGAAGTGATCTAAAAGCCAACCAGCAATTGGTAATAAGTCACCTCATTGTGATCTTTCATTTCCTTGTAATCCTGTTTCATAATCTCATTTCTGTCATTTCCTCTCTGTAGTTCTTCAGTGTTTGGTGGATGCTCGGCAGCAAATTGAGGTTACAAAATTTTTACATTTTGCCTTTTTGAGAACAAATCACGCTGATTTCCCTCGGTCACATGGAAATGGAAATTAGCTGGAATTTATATCACACTTTAGAGAACAATCTGCATTTACCCTTACACTCATACAGCACCTTATATCCACTACATTACATCCACAAGTTAACCTAATGTGCATGCCTTTGGGCTGTGGAAGAAAACTCTCACAGGAGCAGAGGAGAACATGTAGACATCCCACTGCAAACGAAGCCTAGATTTCACGTCATCTTTAAGGCTAATGCTAGGAGCCCCATCACGTGTTCGACCAAACGGCGTCCGAGCCAGCCCAGGTCACTCAAAGATCCTCTAATGCAGGACTACCTTCTCCATAACAACAGGTAAAAAAACAATGACCCTCAGCAAGAACTTCTAAGAAACACCACAGTACCCGCTGCATCTAACTGAATGCCAAGTAGCTGCCTGAGAGTCTTCGTGCGTGTGGGTAGATGCGCACAAATTGGTGTGATCTGTTTAACTAAAACGTAGCATTTTGGAGATGCGCATGGGCGTGCAAGGCTCCGTGAAGCGAGCGCATCCAAAGCAGTGAAAATATTCACCGTGCGGAGACGCTGTCGGCGTCGGCATGAATGGACGAGAGAAAGGCAGTGTTTTCAGTGGATGCCGGGTTATGGCGTGATGGTCTCGGGGCTGAAATTGCTGGAACAGACTTTGAAGTGGCTCGGATTTTTCATCTCTCTCTCTCTCTGTGTCCCTGCCTCCCACATCTGCTGCTATCATAATAACAAGCAATAACCCTCTTTCAGCAATAACCAAGACTTTTACGCCCGTAATGTGGCTTCAATAAATAATGTCATGTTTACCAAGGGGCTATATTTTACAGCAATTTCGTTTAAAGCATCCCCCCCACCCCCACATTGCTTTTTTTGCCTCCTCTTGGTGGAGTACAGTACATAATGTGGTGCATTAAGCACACCAGCAAAAACACACATTAACACATTATCAAATGTGCTGATAGAGAAAACGGCACAGCCCATCATGCGTAATCATAACAGACATTAGGAAAAACAAACAAAAAAAACAGTGAAAAATCAGCCTTTTGTGTGAGGTTTTGCAGACATGCGTGTGCTGCACATCAGCATACGGTGGGAAGTGGACGGCTTTTTCTGGGCGCCGTTGAAAGCGAGCAGCACAAGCATGGGGGCGCGTTTCATTAGTCTGTCAAACTCAATGATATTTAGAGCCCCACACCCTTGGCCAGGACTGGAAAACTCAATCAGCACTCTGATTTCATAACCCTGCTTGGTGACAGGGCTTATTTTATCGCCCCGCTGATTCATTCTAATAAACGCCGGCTGCCCAGCGCGCCGCCACTGAAATACAACCCTCTCCCTCCCTCCTGCTTCTGTCCTCGACGGGTCGACCTGGGAAAAAAAAAAGGAAAGAGAAAAGGGGAAGGGAAGGGTTGGTCGGGTGGGAGGGATAAATCAGAATTGTGGGAACTGGAGGGTGCAGATAATCCATCGCCGGGCCGGGCGGTGTAACGTGTGCCACCCCATCCCCATCCCTCCTCCTGCACCCTTTAGCACAAATCAGGGGCCGGGGACGCTGCTGATCTGTGTGGGCTTAGTGCGTCCATTGATTGCGGGAGATGGAGGGGAGGGGCGATAAATAATCGGAGGCAGAGTGCGGAGGGTGAAGGAAAACAATTATCTGCGGAGGTGGAAAGCACATAAAGCGAAGAATGATAAACGCTGTGAAATATGATTGACTCCAAGTGATATATGGAAGCCGAAGGACGGGCGAGAGAAGTCTGCGCGTGCAGAGATATCCTTGAGTGGAATGGCTGAGGACTCGCTCGCGCTGCCCCTGGCCTAACCACTATTTCTTCTGTTTGTGTTCGTGTGCGTGTTTGTGTGTGTTTCTCCGCAGACGACAGATGACATTGTTTCATCGGCAGAGTGCTCCAGCGACGACGAGGACCTGGAAGAGTGCGACTCCGGACATGCAGGTGGGATGAGTGTGTCGAGTTGTGCTTGCTCTGAAACCTGGTCTATTTCTCCTTATCTTTCTTTGAGTTGCTACCGAGGAGCTTCTCCTCCCTTAGCATCATGTCCCATGGGAGCTTCAAGTGTAACTTTAAAAAAAAAAACGCCCACTTTCCCCCTCCCACCTAGAAAAAGTAGCCACAGTAAGCACAACGGGGTCCTCAGTGTCTGCCAAAAGTTTAAAGAACACTTTTTGGAGACGGGCGAAAGCAGTAAGAATGCACTTTCTACACCCTCGGCATGCTCTGCTGTAGGAAGTCCCACTCGGAACTTTTACTGTGTTTAAGTAAACGCACACAGCTTCCTGTCGGGACGTGTTAAAGCTCACGCCTTCCATCTCTGAAACAAGTTACACTTAGCTATGGGGCCACTGGTTGCAGACATGACGACGCGTTGATACTAATTTTGTTCTCTCGGCGTTCAGCTGAGAGCAAAACTTTACTCAACAAAGTACGAAATTAGTATCAAGCCCCATGTCGCCTGCACTGATGCTTCAAAATGTATCTGTCCTGTACTTGGTTGATTTCCTCTTGCTGTGCGTGTGTGCGTCTCTCTTGACAGAGGATACATTTTGAGATTCTTTCGAGAACAAAGATGCTTTCAGCCTAGATACTGTGATATGTAGCAGACTAACTGCAACAGAGCCTCTTCCTCCCTACTCCTTCTTCTTCTCTTGTTTGTACCTCTGTTTCCTTCGTCGGAGGCTTGCCTTACCTGAAACATTCTAATAGAGAACAGATATCCTCGAATTTCTGTGCGCATCGTCTCTCTTCCCTCCCTCCCTTGACACACACACACACACACAAACACGCACATATCACTTTGTGATTAGATCAAAGTGATAAGACACTCACTCAGTGGAAAATAACAACAGAGCAGGAAATAATGCCGCAGATTTAAAAGGAATGGTTATTTTTGAGGCAACTTGGGTTTGGATGAGTTGAATAAGCAGCTGTCAATCACGCTCCTGCCCAGGAGCTGTTGGCACGGATTCCTAATAACGC